GGGGGGGGGGGGGGGTCATCAAAGAATGTGGGGACACGACGGAATTTTGTTTTGCGTGTGCGCCCACCGACCACCTCTCCGGCGTGTGTGTATGTGTGTGTGACTGTTACTCCTCCCCGTTCACCCTTGGTGATGTGCGAGGGTGAGGACCCGGCGTGCTCCGTCTTGGCTTTGTAGGTATGCGAGGTCAGTTGTCTACCAACCACGGCAGCGCACGGGTATGAGTACACTCAACCCCCCCCCCCCCGCGCGGTGTACGTAAACTTACATGTCGGGCATCCGCTTCTCCGTACAGGACCTCTGGGCGATCTACGAAGCTGATCCATGGGGGGATCCGCTACCTGGAGAACGGCCTTCAAGAAGCTTGACATGGAGAGCTACAACCTTGTGGAAGAGGCGTTGGAAGAGAGGGCTTACATGCTACAGGTATGCTGCAGGTAGACAGATGCGGTTTACATTAACTCATGAACCTTGTGGAAGAGGCGTTGGAAGAGAGGGCTTATGTACTACACGTATGCTGCAGGTAGACCGATGCGAATTTCATTAGCTCATGAAATAAATAGTATCTTGCAAGACCAAGGCAATCAGTGACCTGCGACTGCTGTTGGTTTTTTTTTGCGGTTGAGATCCGATCTTCGCCTCTGTACCCAAAATCTGCTGTTCCATATTTACATCCAACGGTTGAAAGAAGGGAAAGGTAATACATACAAGACGCGGTACCGCCGCCATGCCCGTGCCCCCAAGTATGGAATTACTCTTGTCACAACTTACCGCAACGCGCACCCAAGGTGATCATGCCCCCCACGCTCTCTCCCTCCTGCTGAGACGAACGTTTTGTTTCCTTGTCATATGATGAGCGTGTCGACGACCGAACTGTCTCCTCCTCTCTCTTGGGAACAACAACACAGGCCGCGCCGTACATGAACCGCCCCCTGCCAATCATGATCCCCATCTACAAGTGGTGGGAGGTGCCCTACATGTGGATAGGCGCGAAGGCGAGTTGTTTGTTGGTGACGGGACCCCGGCGGGGAGGCTCGTTGTAGTTCGGTAAATAATTGTGTTCCGTTACGTAAAGAGAGTGACTAAAACTGGGCATATTTGAGTCTATGTATTCCTATGCACTGATGCACTGAGTTTTAAGCGGCGGTGTAGGATTGTAGGGGTTTTGTCACATGAAAAAAATTGGCGGAGGTGACGGCAGTCGGTACAACTGATGCCTCGTGGTACTGACGCCGCTAGGATAGCACTGCTTCTGTATTCTGTCTTGCGCTTGTGAACGTCTCCCCCAATTCGAGTCCTTTCGTTCTCCGCCCACCCCCACCGGCTCGCGTTTTTCGTCCCAATAGATGTGGTTTGTCTTCCACAGGACTTGGCCTGGTATGTGCCTACGCGCAATCTATCTCGTTTTCCCAACCCTTTTTAATAGTGACTACAATTGTTTTGTTTTGCTTCGGCTGTGTTTTGTCCCTGTCTCCTTTTTTTTTTTTTTTCATTTTGGACGTTCCTTTTTTTTGTTGTTAATTTTGTTCATCTCAGGTGTATGACTGGATAGCGGGCGCCAAGCTAGTGGTGCCGCCGTCGCACTACATGAGCCGGGAAGAGGCCATATACACCTTCCCCAAGCTTAGAGAAAAGGTGACGGGCTACTTACTGTATGTTCCAAATCCTCAATCCCCCCCCCACCCCCCCACCCCCACCCCCTGGACCGTTTTTTTAGCTCGATTACTCCACGACGAAGAGGATTCCACACTCAAAACCATGCTTATTTTGCAATGCTCTCGACGAGACGGTTCGAACGCCTCCCGCCATTTTCGGCACAGTCGGTGACTTTGGTGCGGAGTAATAGTCGAGCTTGAGAACCGGTCCAGGGGGTGTGCTATCTTACGCAACGAACGGTAGTCTCTCTCCCTTTTGGCCGTAACGAAGGGGCTCTTGTCTTGAAAGGCGGCAACCAATTCCGCTGCGCTTTACTATCGCTGGGCTGGTCGTCGCGTCGACGACCTCTTTGTCCATGCATGCAGCAGTAGAAGCGGTAGCCAGAAGTGCCGCGTGCAGTCATTCCACGGCGTGACGCAGACGGGCGACAAGCCGAAGAAGCAGAGCGTCTTCTTTTTTGTCTGTCTTGCCAACTAATCTGTGCTTCAAGTTGTTGTCCAGCTATGCGCAACCTGTGTGCGCTGCTTTCGAGCCACAGGGTGGTGCTGTTTTGGTGTGCTGCTTGCATAAAGACCTCCACCTATGAGTTGTACTGCGCCTAGAAGGAATTCAAGCATTCGTTTGTTGTCAGATATTTTTCGTGTTTCCGGCAGCTTTTTCGTGGTTAGCGTCTTAAACTCAACCAACTATTTCTTGGCTTTTGCTGATGCTCTTTGGAGCAGTATTTGCTTCGATGCGATCTCCACTTGTGACTGCTGCTCTTTGCTTGTTTCAATTCTTGGATGGCATGGGTGGACTTTCTTCTTATTTCCCTGTGCCGTGCGAATCCATCCATCTCTATCCACTGGTAAGAGTCGAGGATCAAATAGCAATGAATAATGCGTTTTTCTTCCTTTTTTTTATTCGCGGCGCTTTTCAGGGGTTGAAGGGTGCAATCATCTACTACGACGGTCAGATGAACGATGCCCGATTGAGCCTTGTCGTGGCGCTGACTGCGACGCAGCAGGGCGCGTGCATCGCCAACAGAGTCAAGGTCACGGGGTGAGACGCAGAGACTAGGGGGGGGGGAGAGAGACAGACAGAGAGACAGACAGACAGAGAGACAGGCAGACAGACATAGCCAGAGAGAGAGAGAGAGAGAGGAAGAGAGAGAGGACAGAGAGAGAGAGAGAGAGAGAGAGAGAGAGAGAGAGAGAGAGAGAGAGAGAGAGAAGAGACAAGAAGAAGAGAATAGAGACATCAAAACCTACCGTAAAATGTTAGTGATCGCACACCCCCTTCGACGGCCCTTCACCTCTCCCGGTTGTGCCGCGCACCCGTAGAGGTTGTCGGTGCTAAAACCATTTCTTCTATTTCAGATTGTATTTGTTGTTGTAATTGTTTTGTCAGGCTTGTCAAGGATAAAACCATTTCTTCTATTACTTATTATGTTTGTTGTTTATTTGTTTTGTCAGGCTTGTCAAGGATAAAACCATTTCTTCTATTACTTATTATATTTGTTGTTATAATTGTTTTGTCAGGCTTGTCAAGGATGAGAACGGCCAGACGAAGGGGGCGACGGTGCAGGACACGATAACGGGGGAGAAGTGGGAGGTGGCAGCGAAGGCCGTCATCAACGCGACCGGCTGCTTCTGCGACGCGATACGGTGCGTAAGCGGCATGGACATAAATACGGGATCATTCGTAGGGATACAACAACAGCGGTATATACATATCGAGCCAACACCGTGTGTTACAACAAGGGATGGATCTCGCGAAGTTTTCGCGCTGTCGCTGTCGTTGCATCCCACCCCACCGAGTTTTTTTTTTGTCTCTTTTGTTTTCTTTTTGTTTTGGTGGGGGAATGGGTTGATCGACGTGTCCCGAACAACGCCCGCACACCGCCCCCGTTACACCCTCGTTGGAGTGAAATTTGTCGTTTCTGTCCCCCCCTCCCCCCCCACCTGGTGTTTGCCATTGCGGGGTTGGGTGTTCGTCGCTTGACAACGACGTTGTAAAACAAGCCGATCACGTCGTGAGCTCGGCAACCAGCGTACCATTTGTTTTTTGCCTTTGTTTTTGTTTGTTTTTTGGCGGTAACCATAATGGTGGTCTAGTGGATTATGTTGTGCGGGGTCGAGAACCCTCACTCCGCGCAAAGGGGATAATCGTATGACGTTGTGTTAAATTGGTCAAGCATCCTCGAGGCAGCTACGCAGTGCGTACAACCGTCTCTGGAAGTGAAAGGACCAGAAAATATTAGGTCATACGCAGCTGTCATCCGTACGCAAGGAAGTGAGCACAAGATGCCGAACACCCTAAGCAGGATGCAGCGCACCCTTCATGCGACTCGCCGAATACCTCACGGCGCTTTGCACTTGGTGATGTGAGAGCCTGGTCCGGTGAGAACCCGGCGTGTTCCGTCCCGGCTTTGTAGGGATACGAGGTCAATGGCCTTTGACTACAACGGCACGACTAGAGCACACACACACACACCCTCCCGCCCCACCTTGTATGCCACCTGTGGCACAGTAGAAAGGAACAATTGGCCATCAGTGATCGGCCCTGTGGGAACAATGCTCCGTCCTCTCGAGGATGCGTGGCCAATGGTCTAACCCGCTATGGCATGCAAAACATTAGAGTACCCCCCCCCCCCCCGCCCATGTTTGGTTGCAGGAAAATGGACAATCCAGAGGCGAAAAACCTGGTGATGCCGGCAGCGGGCGTCCACATAATGCTCCCGGCGCACTTCAGCCCGGCCAGGATGGGTCTGATCGTGCCCAAGACCTCGGACGGGAGGTAAAGGCGTGCTGACTGCTTTTCAACCTTTTTTGGGAAGTATGTTCGACGTGTAAATTAGCCCTGGACTAGTGCTGCTCGTGGGAAGGCAGCACCAGTTCAATCGAGCATCATTGTCGTCCTTCCCTTTATTTTTTGTTGTTGTTTGTTGATTTTTTTTTCCTTTCCTTACTTCAGTTTTATTGTTGTTGTCTTCACGTTGATCAAGAGGCCACGTGTTAATAGCAGCTGTTGTCTGCACGTCCACAAATCAAGTATTATAGCGCTATTCAGGGCATTTGTTGACAACAGTTTTTTGGGTGGAGCGCGGTCGACCCTTCCTCTCCACCCCTCCGCGATCGAGCGTTCCTTGCTTTTGGATAGTCCCCCAACGTCCCCTTTTTGTGCGCGCGTGTGTGTGTGTGTGTGTGTGTGTGATGACGTGGTTGACAGGGTGCTGTTTTTCCTGCCGTGGGAAGGAGCGACGATTGTGGGCACTACGGACTCACAGTCGGCGCTGACGATGACGCCCAAGCCCACGGACGAGGAGGTGAACTTCATCATACAGGTATGTGTGCTAACACAGGTTATCTATGTGTATCGCATCACTAATAGGTGAACATTTTCGAACGTGTTTCCTTTCGTTCATGCTTCGTTTTGTGTTAATGTTTCACTTTTGGCTCAGTGTTACTGTGAATAGTTCACTTTTGCTTCATTTTCCCTGTGCAATACTGTGCTTGGAAACAGGCAGTCACAACACGTTTGCTTTCTGCCCATTTTTTTTTTTTTCACCATTTTTTTTGTTTTGCAGGAGAGCAATCGCTACCTGTCGAACCGCGTGCACCGCTCCGACGTCATCGCGGCGTGGTCCGGCATCAGACCGCTCGTCAGAGACCCCAAGCTCATGGACGAGGAGGGGACCAAGGTACGCGCGCCCGCCTAGTCTACTCTGCTCGTGCACACCAACTCTCTTTGATGTTCTCTCGTTTCAGCGCCTCCCTCGTCGTCGTCGTAGTCCAGCCGTTGCGTGCAGCGAGGCAAACAAGTCAGCTTGATGCGGGGGACGTTTGGTAGCATTTTTTGTCGGTTTTTTTTTCGAGTCGTTAGCCCGGTGGTTCTTGCTTGCTGCAGAGTTGGCGATTTTCGTCACACAGCGCCCCGTTGTGCCCCCCCTCCCCTCCCCCCCTCTCCTCCTTCCAAGACTGGTCCCAGTCTGCGTGGACACCTATGCCCCCCTCTCCAGTTCCCTCCGTCATTCCGTTTATGTTTGTCCAACCATGCACTCTCTGGATGATGTTTCGCCGGTAAATTCACAACCCGCACGATCCGAAGTAACTGGTGGGTCCCCCGTCTCTTTTTTTTCATACGACAGTGCCCCCCGAATCTCGGAATGTGACTGACCTTGTCGCTGCAGGCTCTGTCCCGCAACCACGTGATCGAAGTGAGCGACTCCAAGCTGGTGACCATCACGGGAGGAAAGTGGACGACCTTCAGGCGGATGGCGGAGGTGCGCATGTGGAACAAAGCAGTCTTTCGGAAATCACCGCATGGATACATGTGTATGCGAGAGGCCTGTTTTTCGTTGTTGTTTTTGAGATTTCGAAGGTGTATGCATACATGTCTGCGTATCATGCGATGCTTGCAACCGCACTCGGATTTCGTGTTCTCACTGCAGTGGCCATCGTGAAGGCGATTTCCGACCATGTGGTACGGAGCAGGTACCCATGCACACTATTCGCGGCCATCTACCAAACTACCGTGTCATGCTTTTGTGTTTGTGTCCTGCGGTTAAGGCGTGCGTGTTGTCTGTGTTTCGCTAGTTAGCTCCGACCGCGCTATTCGGTTGCGTGGGCGTGCTTTATTGTTTCTATTAGCGTCGACCGCGCAAACCGACGGACATTTGAAAAAGACGCGAGTCTCAGTGCGGTGTGTGTGTGTGTTTGAGTTAGCATCGACCGCGGTAACCGGCTGACCAATAAAAATGACGTCAGTCTGGTAGCGGCGTCAAAAACGCGAACCTTTGTGTGTGTGTGTGTGTGCGTGGTTCTGAATCAGCATCAACCGCGAAAACCGACTGACCAATGCCAAGACTTTGCGCGACCCAAAAAACACGAGTACTTGTTTTCTCAAGGGCACGGGCTCCACCGACCGCGTGTATGTATGTGTGGTGTTTTTTTTTTTTTTTACCCCGAACCTGACCAAACCCAACCCAGGACACGATCAACGCCACTCAAGAGTCCATCCCGGACCTGGACGAGGAGAACGCCGTGTCCACCGAGGCCGTCACGGCTCTCGGATCGCTCATCGGGGCCGACCGCGCGGGGGTAGTGTGCGCCAGAAAGTTCGACGAGGTGAGCGTTCTTCGAGCGTCTGCTGCGTTTGTGTGTGTGTTTTTATTATTAGCATCGACCGCGCTAACCGGCTGACCAATGAAAAGACGTCAGTCTTAGTGCGGTTGAAAACACAAAAGCACTTCTATCTGCCCTGAACTGGGACCCCGTGAGGGGGCAGCATGGGGGAGGCTAAACTATCCTTCGGATCAAAGACAGAAACAGCAGCAACAGAAGAAAACTGGACGCGTCTACCAAGGCTTTTACCTTGTACTCTAGTTCGTTTAGGAGTACTTTCACTATTATCCTTCCTTGTTTTCGCTACCATCATTCTGACCCTTATTTTGACAAGAATCTCTGGGCAGTTCTTCCCTAGCCCTACGTTTTTTGTTTTGGGGAAGGTCAGTGTGTCTGTGTGTCCCGTGCGGTGCGTGGTGGTTGTGGTACACGAGGGGGAGAGGAGTTTGGTGGTGGGGCCTGTGGGTTGTTGCCCGAGCGAGTGTGGGGGCGCCAGAAAGTTCGACGAGGTAGTAGGCGTGCTACTGCCGTGGTTGCTGCCTTTTTGTGTGTGTCCCGTGGTGTGTGGTGTCTGGTGTACACAAGGTACACAAGGGAGGAGGGGGGGGGGGGGGGGGGGGGCCCCCCAAAAAAAAATCC